AATTCAGTAATTCCTTAGTCCTTAATCAGATGGCACACTGCTATAAAAGGAACTTCTTCCTAGCATCTGTTTGTTTACCTGAATATAGTTTGTGTGGGAAAGCCAAGATAAATGTCCGATTTTTTTTATCCTTGATTTGGCACCTTTCAAAAGAATACATTGCTTCTCTCCTATCTCCCAAAGATAATAGAGAGTTAAAAATTCATTATGATATAATGGGTATTTCATATTAATTATAGTCATTATTTTTGATGTTCAAGTGGTCCCGTTTTTTTGGACCAGCTTCCTCATGTTGTGTCCTGAACTCTTTTGACAGGAATCCAATAGATTTAAAGCTCCTTTCTTCCTGGGATGGCAGGACAGTGGACAAAGTTGGGAAACACACACACACACACACACACACACACACTATGAAGATTTTGGATATAGGTTATTTGCATGAACTCTTATTTCATGGTAGTTTCTGAATTAGAGTGCAATTGGTTAATGTGCTCACTGGTAACCAGAAGTTGCAGGCTCAAGGCCTCTCAGAGAGGCTTTGGAAGAAAGGTCTGGTGATTGATTTCTTTCTGGAAAATTGGTGCTAAGGAGGCTGGTGCAGCCAAGGGGTCAGGATCAATTCAACTACCATTTTAAAAGACGTCTTTATATTGTCTTTTGCGCTATGCCAAAAATATCTTTGTTTTTCATAAAACAAATAAACAAACTCACTGCCATCAAACCAACTCTGATTCATGGCGACCCTTCAGGACAGGGCAGACTGCCCCTGTGGGTTTTTCTTCTCATAGTATTAAAAAAAAAACCTATGAAAATATATTACTGATCTCTCAAACTTGGTCAAATATGGAGCTCACTGGGGGAGCTGTGAAAACATACTAACCCTGGACCCACCTCGGTGGTTCTGGTTTAATTGGCCGGTTGTGTGTTCTGGTCATCAGGATTTTAGCAATCTTCCTTGTAATTTCAATGTAATTTCAATTGTAAGTTGAGAACCACAGATGCAATAGTTAGATAACAGCTATTTCAATAATGCTATAGCATTTCTATGAGATATCTCAAAACAGATAAAGCATTTTTTTTTTTGCAGTTCTTTTTAACCTTAAGCTTAAGGTATCTCACCCCACTAGGGATGTTTATTAAATTGTGTCTTAAAGTGCTTTGCAATAATTTCTCTCTGTGGTTATGTCACACACTTGATATACAATTAGGTTCATTTATTTTCTTTTGTGTTTTAGGAATAAACTAATTTATTATAATCATGTAGAACATTTACATGATTTCGAAGTCAAATTTACAAAAAGATATATGTTTAGAGAAGTGTAACATACCAATCTTCTCGCTACCCTAGTCCTTTCCTCCCCTACAGATAATTATTTTTCTGTTTATTTTTGGTTTATTCTCCCAGTTTATTTTTGGCTAGGCAATATATTACTCCTGTCTACTTCTTAGATGGATGGGAGCAAATGACAAGACTAGTGTCCATCAACGTCCTTTCTTATAACATGCACTACTGGCCTTCCAAGGATTAGTAGAATAGCATGTGCATTTGAACCATGTCTAATTAAGAGATGTGCTTCACCGATCTGGTGTGATAACCACCTTACAACATCAAGCTGTTTCTCAGCTTAATTTATAACATAAATACTTTAAAATGCATTATTTAATCAATGTTGGACCCAGGCATGGTATCTGAAGGTAGAAATCATGTCTATGTAACTTATAAAATATAATTTTAATTCTGAAGCAAGGATATACCTTTGCCTCTGATAAACTTGATTGTTATAAAGGATCTTTATAATATATGTTTCCCAGCTACCCACACATTCTTTCTTTTTTCCCCACAGTCACCGGGTTTGATCTATGGGGTGCAGTAGTGGCAACAGGTGTAGTCTGCACCTTCTACTGTACAATGGTATGTTATTATTTCCCCTCTCACTCTATATACTTTGTTGGCAAAATTTAAAATCCCCATCATTGGATGCTACAAACTAGTTTCATCATACTTATTCTTGTGCTCCTCACCTCCCACAGAGGAACTTTTTGGGGTGAGAAATATTTGGTCTGGAATAAACTTGCCAGTAGAACTGGAACATCGATCACAACGCTGATTTTTTTCAATCATCATTGCAATGGTACCCAGTCTTATCTTTATAAAACTTCCTTCATGCTCTAGCTGTGCTCATATTATTTGCTCTTCTTAGAGACATGAAGTTCCTTCCCATTACCTATAGGCAGAATACGTAACCTGTATTGCACGGGTACCGTTTCCATGGGTGCTTGTCCTTGCCCTCGGTGCAGGCATTATCAGATCCCTGATATGCTAGGAATTACTTTTGTGTTGCCGGAGCTTATAGAGGATGGGGTCCTCGGAGAGGGCACGGTTTAGCTGAGGTCCTCGAGGGTGGGGGCCAACACTTGGGATTTTGAAGTAATGGCGAGTACAAGACAATTTTAGTATTTCAACAACTGGAATGATCATTTGGGTGCATACCGATTGAATATCCACTTTACCTACAGCATACAATTCATGAAATTGCCTTTTAAAATTTGACTTTGAATTTTTTCCCCCAACCATCTCTCCACACTACTTCACTTTATATGAGATGCTCAACCATCCTCAATGTGCTGTCACCCTTCTGCTTTGGGCCCTGCTGTTTCCTCTGCTGGGAGAACCTGCTCTCGTTGCCTCGCTCTGTGCTTGAAGGCATAGCTGAAATATGACTTTCTTTGTTACGGCTCTTCTCACTGGCTCCTCTCCCTTGGGTGCACTTTTGGACTAAGAGGGTTGCTTTCCTTGTTTTCCTCCAGCACAGGGACTCACAGGTAGCTCCTCAGTAGCCTATGTCAGAAGCCTCAATCCTAATGTTCTTTCTCCGCCAAGGGTGGCCTTAAAGCAGTCATCTGGACAGACGTTTTCCAAGTTGGGATCATGGTGGCTGGATTTGCGTCTGTGCTGATACAGGCTTCCATTGTGCAAGGCGGCATGAGCACGATCCTGAATGATTGCGACCGCGGTGGGAGGTTAAACTTCTGGAAGTAAGTCATTTTCCTCTTGGTTAATAGGACTTTACCTTTCGCTTTTGCCGTGAAAGCAATCTCTTTATTGAAATAGTAAACTTGCACTAAATAAACCAACCACCAAGGACGTGGGACAGAAAACTGAAGTCAGCAAGTAAGTGTTCCGCCAGGTTTTTTGTTTTTTTTTTAGAGGTTCAAATGGTCAGATAATGCAAATGCTAAAGATGATGTTTCTGTTCACTACAGATTAGTCAACACCAATGCTTTCCCTCTGTTTTGGGTTCCCTTCCTGCTAGGGATTGTAAACGTGAAGAGAGGCATTTTTCTGTAGGAAGGTGCTGTGGGGTTGGGAGAGAGGCAGATGCCAGGCATACTTAGAAGCAGAATCTCTGATGTGGT